TTCCACTGAGGATACTCTACAGGGCTCAGCCCTTTTCTTCTGTCTCTGCTTCAATACAGAGTGATACGGTGTCCTCCAAACATCTCCCACCAAAGCAAGGGCTAGATAGGAAACAGTTGTAGAGTATTTACTCTGAAAAGTCAATTCTTTTATGTGTGAATGTACAACTGTATCCATACAATTTTTATTTGTCAACACTAACACAGAAATCAAGATTCAGTGGAAAGGCTAACTCACATGATACCAGGCACTCAGCAGCAAATCCTGGACTTCAAATTCAAAAATACAAATGCAGTTTGTTGCTCTTCCACATGGACTTTCACTGATATCTTTTAGTCTCCCAGTTGGAATAAACAGAATAAAATACACAGGTACACTTGCAGGCTACAGGCAACAGTAGCCTTAGATGCATTAAGGTCAAAAGAGACTGACCACCAAAACCATGAAAGTAACAGAATAAAACTAATTTAATTAATCCAAGATAAATGTGACTGTTGCATCTTCTAGAATCACAGGTAGGAATCAGCTGTTAATATTCTGTTTAACACATCCGGTTGGTTAGAACCGCCAAAAACATACAAATGTTTGGTTTGTTTAGTTCTGTTAAGTAGAGGGAAATGACCTAATTTTTCCAATATAAGTTTCACAGGGCAGTTACTCTAAAGTGCATTTGTATGAATAAAAACTACTTACCCAGAGGGACATTCGAAAAGGCATTTCAGACAAAAGAAGCCCTAGTGTCAAATATTTTAGTCATTAAAACATAGAACAGCTGCATGTTCTCAGTGAGGTAGCGTCTGGAGCAAGAAAGCAAGTTTGAAAATGTGTATGTCAATGAACTTCATTTTTTGCAATTATGATGTATAAAGATTGTGTAAAGATAAATTATAGCACTGATAAGTGCGGCTGTAATGTCTGTTAGAATAATCTACTTCTGAATAGTTTTAAATACAATGTCTTCGTCTAAGTCTCTTACACATCACATGTATCTGGCACCGTTTTTCTCTCAGAGGGAGGATTCACTACTAAAACACGGTAGTTACTTTTTAGTCTGTTGATAATACACTTCTGCACAGATTTTCCAGCAGCTGTAACAGTGCCACATTTAATAACAGGGCAACTCTGAGTACATCTATAAAAGCTGCAATGTATCATGCCTCCACACCACAAAAGTTAGGAGAGCAATACCATTACGTCCCCAATGGAATAGCAAAAGTCTGCAAGTCACGCTTGTCTAAACACAAGTTTAACATCCTTTTCATACCTTTGCTGACAGACAGGCACCTGTCTCTCTGCTGATTCAGTAGGGTGCAAAAACAAACATTCAGTGGTACACTGCAGCATCCTGGCTCTTCTTGCAATACAACTTTAGCAGATTCACAGCAGTTTATGAAGAGGAGCACTGCAGGAAAGTCAGTAGCCATTCCAAGGCTCTATTTTGTATGTGTCAGATTACCACCTCAAGCGTGGTTAGATTTCCAACACAGTGAAGAGCTACCTGTAAATACATCCTACACACACTAAGATGACTGAGAAAATATGATCAGTAGCTGGTTACATATAACACAGCCACTCCATGTAGTGGCAAAACAGAGACTGTTAAACAAAAAACAAAAACAAAGTGTTATTGCCTAAAAGTAACAGTATGCACCCAGGATTATCACCACCTCCAAATTTATGAGCACAGCACTGGAGAGAACCAACTGTGCATCAAATCCACTTCCCTGAATTTTAAAGCAACAATGTAATAGGAATTTTGCCAATACTTTCCACAGAGCATCTTCTCTACCAAAATGAAGACAGTCCATAGATGCATCGGATTTGCTCAAAATCCAACAGCACCCTTATGGACTTCAACTAACAATAAGGATCAGCTGCAGATGTAGCACAGGAAGAGCTTCAAGAACTGTGCCAACGTAGAAAACCTTTCGATAACATTAAATCTGTTTGCAGTACAGCATCCTCAAAGCACAATGAATGAGCAGCTACTGGAGCCCCTGTCCAACACTAACAGAACGAAGCCTGGAGGCAGGATGAAATCCTATTTGCAACATGACTTTCAAAGTGCTTCCACATGTTCCGTAATATCTAAAAAAGGATAAATCTGAGCTAGCACTCTACAAACACCCCAACTCTGTGCACAATGCCCAACGGCAAGAAGTTAACACACACACAAACTTAACATTACTTTAAGAGAGTGACATATATCTTTCACTGATCAAACTTTCATGATCTTTCTCTTTTACAAGAGAAACCGTGAGCAAACGTTCCCTACTCTGCATTCGCACTAGTCTCCCCTCTCAAAAAAAAAGAATGTTAGAGTCTTACCTAAATAAAATAGCAGGCATTAGAAGAAACAAAGCCCTCAACATGACTGCTACTACATTAGTTTCACGTATTTTACTTTCATACAGAAAACCTTAAAGACAGCCGTAGAGATATTTGTTAACAATTCTCAGGTCTTCACCTGCTATACAGGTAAAATCTTCATCATCCCTGCAAAAGCCAGACTCCAGTCTTTCTACTCAGCTATGCTTTGAGCTCCAAAGAACTACGGCTGATGACTTCTGGAGAGTGGGCAAGACAGACCATAAAGAATAAGAACAGACTAACATCCCCTCCCTCCCCCGCAACATATTAAACTGTGGTTGAGCAGCTCTACTACAGGCAACGGGCCACTCTGGAATTCCCATTTAGGAACTTTAAGAAAATGAAGATATTTTCACCATGTTTCAGACTTGAATGCATTCCTATTCACTAACCATTTTTCCCCAAATATCTCAGTCTATTCTGCTCCACTGAGGAGCATCAAGAAGAAAAGTCACCTCATCAGATATTTAAGGACATCGGCGACAGCATACTTTTCCTGGAATGTATGAATTTCCGAATAATACCCAAGAACAACGTGACAGGATACTCTCCTTTAATAGCACAAAGTTCTATTCTTTTTGTGAGCAAAATAGAGTACCACCCACTAAACCGATGACTCTACATCTGGTTTATCTCGTTCAGTCACAATGGTATGCTTCCTGTCTGTATCTATTAAACACCAGTTAACACCCACTTTGCATCCCAAGCCTAATAAAAATTTCCACTACTGCCCATCTCAAGGCACAGTATTTTCTAATCGAGTAAGCTAAAACACCTCTTAATGTCACATTGTTCTGATTTTAAGTTTTCATCTAATTGCAAATCTTTAAAATATTAATAGTCTACCATTCTGACCAAATCAAGAAATGTATGTAAAGAAGCATTTACTTCAGAGTATTTTTTCCAGTGAACAAATTAAATTAATTCAGTGAATTCCAATATAAAGAGGGCAAATAAGGGTAAACAAGTGCCATTACAATAGCAGGATGCAAAGACTCATCCATTTCTATGCCTCTTCAGCACAGAATAGCCCAAAACGTTTTTTGACTTTGGGTACATGTGCCCAGAATAGATGAATGCTTCATTTAAATACAGGAAGCATTTGTCATTGTAAGTGCAAGTCCTGACTGAGAGTTAAAAAAAGTCAGTCTTTACACAGCAAGAAGTGGTTCACAGACTGTGTTCAGTAAAGGACTGAAAAAGTTGGGAGTAAAACTAAATGTCTAGAAATCGAACATTTTGCTTTTCGTCCTGTGTAATGACTAAATTATTAAAAAATAACAATCCTTAAACTAATAGCTCCGTTTTCTCCTAGACGGTGTTAAACCTTAATCTAAGTTTGAGCTTCCACAGAGCAGTTACTCACTTTCAAAGCTCTGGCAAAATACCATCTCAGTTTAGCATTGGATTACAGTTCCTTCCTTCTAAGTAGAAAACTAACACAAGACAAATAAGCAAGCAACCATAACAAACTAGAAACGTTATATACACTTGAGTATATGTAAAAGCACAGATAAGGAACTATAGCAGGGTAAAATAGTGCATGAACCTAGTGTGAAAGTTATCTCAAATTTATCGTATATCTGCACGTACCCACAGCATTACAAAAATACGTAACAGCCTGTTTCAAGAGTTCCACCTAGCAACATTGCATGTTTAACTATTGGACAGAATCACTTTAAGTATAATACAGATAAAAACTAATAAAACGGCCTTAGGTGTCGGAACCATAGACTGTTTTCCTTGCGCATAGATATTTAATTCCTTAGCTTTCCATAAGTGTCATCTGTTTACAATCTATTGTAGAGTTAGTATTAGTGTGCTTTGAGGAAGAAAGCTTTTGATTACAAGGCAGCATATGCAAGAAGACACCTTAAATTTTGCATTTATTTTTATTATTATATTTCTTAAGTGTTAATATTAAATATTATTCTAAAATATTAAAATAATAGTGTTTCTTAAATAAAGGGGAAGGAGAAATGGTGACACAAAAGAAAATACCTATTTATAATACTCTGATAATCTGGAATGAGTTCTCAGAATTCAAAAAGGTAATTTCAGTTTCACATGCATTAATAGTCTGTAATATACACACACACACAAAATTGTAGCACAGAAGACACTCTCAGAAGTTAGCAAGTGCTTATAACCTCAAGCACTGGAAGGAAAGCCAGGTGTTACTTTGCAATGTTTTCAATTATCAAAAGGGAGGAAGGATTCCTTTCCAAGCACAACCCATCACTTACCTTACAAGTCAAACTGTAACCGTAACTCCACTTTTAACAGAGAACACAGAGTACCTTTCCATGCAATCCAAGAGGTCTATCATTTCTGCTCTTCCAGAAAAATGACGACAGATATTGTATTACTCCTCTGCCTAGCTACATGATTTATTTCAACTAGATAATAATGTAGAATATCTCAGACAGTGATTTTCCAAGGCATTTGTTACATGAGTCATCTGGCTTTAAAAAAAAAAAGCCACATCCTTTGCAATGAGAGCTGACTGTAAAATAGGTCAGTGTATAATGAAGCATGCCGCTGGCTTATGCTTGCCAAAGAAAACCCCAAATAATAATTCATGGCAAGAGTACCTCATGGATATCCAAAAGAAAGGCAGAAACTCTTACCTTAACAGGAAAGCTGCACTTGCCAGTACGAACGCCTTCTTCATCAGTCTGCCATTGATGAGGCCTACTGGCCTCCGGCACATAGACATCTTTCTTTCTCCTAAAGCTTTGCCGTAATTTGTTCATTTCTCAGATTTTCACGTCCTAGAAGGAGAAAAAAAAGAATATTGCTAATAGGCACCAAACCACACATTTAGCCACTTTGGGTCAACCACTACCATGACAAATGCCCCCGTGAAACATCTGAGCTTCTGCAAATATGAATGGAGGTCCCTGCAAAAGGAAAAATAGTTTTGGACATAGATTCAGAGAAAGATAGATATTCACTTCAAAGTGGAAAACACAGATCCACTTTACTTCTTTAATATCTTTCCACAGCAACTGAAGCATTAGACCCAGGAATAACTATTACTCTGAGCATAAGGTTACCTAAAATAGCTGACAGAGAAGCTCCGAAGAGTGATGCGCATGAAATCCTGCCTCCACGAATTTAAACACCTACCTAGAGCAACCAAGCAGGACACCAGTAGCACAAGCTTCCAAGGCACCCATGCAAGGCAAGGATTCATAGCCCCAAGACTGCTCCTAAAATTAGGTGCTTGTGCTGTTCTTTAAGTCCAAGTGACAGGTTCATGCTTTTACTGAGAGGCAGAGTCCAGTCCTTGCTTAGTCTGCTGGTAGAAGTTCATACGTTTAAATGAGAAATGCACTGAATTGACTTCCACGTCCTGGGTAAATCTCTAAAAAATTACGTACTCTTACCTATTTGGAAGGGGAAGACAGTTCTGTAATTACACTTCCAAAGCCCATAATTAGATGCTTTTTATACACTATTCTCTTATGTATTGCTTTCTATATACTACCTAAACTGCTCTTTAGACATGCTCAGTTTTACTAGATTCAAACTGCAATTAGCCAAGAAGCTATTAGAGAAAGTACTGCTAATAAAAAGACTCAATATTCAGCTACAGAAGTAAAATAATATGGGATACAATGTTGGGAGTATAGAAAATATTCTGAAAGGCTTCTTGAGATATTGCTCCTCTTTCCTGAAAAAGAAACCTGCTTACAAACATGCCATCTCATTTTGATAGGAAAAAAAGACACTGGAGAATGCAAGACAATAAAATCTAACTGCATTATGTATGCTTATTTCCCATTAGATTAACAAAGCTACAGAATATGGATGTTTATGGGTGCCAACAGGCAGCCTTTGAATGAAAGCAGCTTTAAAAGCAGTTTGAACATTATTTTAAACCCTGAAAAACACCAGTGTTTTCCAGTTAAAACTATTTGACATAGGTGAGAAAAATCAACACATTCATGTTTGTGGTATCATTTAAGAAGCTTAAATTCAAAATGCAACCATTTCAAAGCTGAACAAAAGTCAGAAATCAAAAGCATTACAGAAAATCACTACCCACTACTACTTCTGATCAGCCAAATTAAAAATATTGGTTTATATCTCTTGATGCACTTTAGCCACTCCAAGTAACAAAAAGGTGTGAGTTTTGTTACCGACTCCCCAAACCCTCCTTCAACAACTGTTACTTTCCTCCTCAAGCTGTAAATCATTAGGTCCCACTGTATCTTATGGGCATGGCATTGGCTCATTTCTCTAGAATCTTCCATCGTTCCATAATCTATTAAAAGCAATACTGTAAAATAAGTAATAATTTACAGATATACCCATGGATAAAGAAAACACCACTATATCACTAGAACCGGGAAATTTAAGTGTGGTGATGTTAATACTTGTTGAAGTGCAAATAAGCATGCTATTCACGTGCACGAGTTCAGTGACAAACGAATGCAACGCTGCCTGGTCTTGTAGCATTGCAGGGCATTCTTTCAGCATAAGGGATAATTCCTCAAGTATTTCTATGTAAGCAAACAACCAGACCAACCTCCACTTTTGCAGCAAACACCTGCGCTCAGAGCTACTTGATGAGCATTTGAAAGCAATAAGGTGTGGCACTCCAAGCAATCCAAATCTCTCTTGCAAATTAAGTGAAGCGTTTAGATGTACAGCAAAGGCTAGATGACTGCCCCTGGGAGGGAGCGTGTACCTAGAATAGCCGTGAGCTCTAACAAATAGCATAAGAGCAGGCATAGGAAGTTGCTCTGGGATTCTCAGTCACAATTACCTAGTTATAAAGCAGTGTTAGCTTCATTCCTTCATAGCTGCAAAATGCCTGACATAACTAATAACATATTTTCCTGAATTACTTGGTAGGATTTAGAGATTAGAACACGTGCAAAATAAAAAGACATGCACATTTCTCACCACTAAACAAGCTGAAGTCGCTCCTCTGCACACAGTTTCTTTATTTTACAAGCTAAAAGCCATTTAAAAATCTTTGAATGTGCAAAAGCAATCCTGGAAGTTTTAAGAGGAAGTGCAAGGCTTCTATTCTCCATTAAGGCTTAGAGATGCATTAGAGAAGTATTAGTTATGTATTTTGCTTTACAAACTGCAGGTAGAGGAGCCTACACAATACTGAGTCTAAAGTAACTACAATTTCAAGGGGGGGCATTCAAGCACCTCGGACAGGTGATTTTTATTTTTTTTTTCTTTTGCTGTACTGCAGCAAACGGACACACAGCACCTCAGCTCACGAGGACAGACACCCACTCTTGTCCCTGCTGAAGACTGTCAGTGCCACAGCACAATGAGCAAAACCACCACTCCAGCTGCTTTGGTGCAAAGCTCAGGAGTCTGGTCAGCGCGTAGCTTGAAGCCCAGCTGCCCAACCTTGCAGTTGGGTGACTGAGAAATGGGCGCAGATACTCCATCCTACCAAAAAGGACAGCAGACTCAAACTGCTACAAATAGGTACAGTAAGGCTCACGTGCCAGTATTCCCAGTATGACCGATTAAAAAAGACTTTGTAGAAATTTCAAATCTACAAATGTGTAAAAGCAACCTGTGGAACACTTTTCAAGGTAACTCTGAATCCCAAAAGCTTCAGTAAGTAACAAAACAAGAACCGAGAACAGCACGCGGCCACTGTACCACTTGTGAAATCGCAGTCTAATTGCTTTATCCTAATATTTGCTTATGTGAGCATTTCCTTGGACTTCTCCCAGGAAGCATTGCTTTTGCCCATGAGACTGGTACCTTATCAGAGATTTATTCCAATCAGGAATCTCAATCCACAGGGGAGGATGATAATAAAAAGTTCCTCAACTACACTTCCTATGAGAAGCTGAAGTGGCATTTTGCCCAAAAGTACTTCTTTTTCACTGAAAACAAAACCCATTTTCCTACATGTTCTAATTTTAAGGTCATGTTAGCAACAAGCAGTTTAAAAATAGCTTATTCTACTTAATAGAAATGCTGACAAATAGCAAGATTAATTTCTGGTCAGGCAACCAGAGAGTTTTCTCCAACTGTCACACACGGATTTTCTGAGATGTCAGACTGTTTCAAGTAGGTTGCAAAATAGTTTGCCTTATAAACACCTAATTTGCTGGTAACATGCATGTCAGCCCAATATAACTAGAACTGGCATCTGATGGGAAAGCGTTAAGTAAAACAATTTACACAGGCTGCGTATTTGAGGATTCGAACGAGAAGTACATGAATTGCTGCAATTAAGTGCTGAAATTTCTACTAATTTTGTCTGGAGCTCAAAATCCCTGCGCAGGAGCTCTAGAGGAAAACAAGTGAGCATTTTCTACTTGGATTCTTTGCAGTGCACTTCAGATTTCCATACAAGCATAGCATGCCTGCCAACATGAGAGACACCAACCTAGGCTGCAACAAGCTAGCAGGGTATTTTCTACTAAACTGACAGCATCAATGATACTGTAAAGAGCTTTATACTCTGTCTTGGGATTATGTTGGCTGAAAGTTGTCTGTCCCTGATTTTTCTATATTTAGCAACTGATTTTTGTCCTGTAATTAAAAGTATTTTAAAAACTCCCAAGAAACAACAAACCAAACCACCAAAGACACTATTTCTGTTTCACTTTTTGAACCGCAAATTCAGCTTGGGCCCAGAGAGAGGACAAAGGAGAAACAGTATTTGAAGATAAACCTGGTGAAAAGCCAAGATAGGAAACTCAAAATCTAATTAATTCACAAAATACAGCGTTGTATCAGAGACAAACTGGTAACCAAGGCCGAAAGCACCAAGATCTTCTGTAGAAAAGAGGAAACAGGGCCACTTTGGGTTCTGTTATATTTCAAGGTTATCTCTATCAGAAAGCTAACTGCAGACAGCTCGACATCTGAATGGTCATGCCCACTGGAGAAAAAAAAAAAAAAAAGAAAAAAAAAAGCCAAAAAAACAAACCTCCACCACTTTTGCAATCCAAGAGATTACAACATTAGACTAAACATTAGACCAGTTCCCAAACCACCCAACAAGCATCTACAAAAGGCATGGAAAAGACAGAAGTTATTCATGTAGTGAGTTTATAAATTTATGTTGCCATTATTTTTATGCAAATTGATATATTTTGGATATTTTGAAAACACAGCTCCAAAGCCAATTTAAGGAGAGCTTTGGCACTGCTATTCTTCTGACCACCTGAAAAGGTATTGTTTTAACCCATATCAGTTCACTGACAACTGAGGGGCAGCAGAGACAGAAACAACGCTGTCATGGAGAAAAGTGCATGTTGAAGCACTCTTGTCTTCATTGCCTTATGCATCATCAGGTTATGGCTGCAGAACAAATTACTGCAAGATAAACTAGCATGTTAATTCATGTCGTGTTAGCTGCTCTGCTATAAGAATGTGTTCACTTTTACCCTTCAGCGAGCACAAGCCAGCAATTTATCCTTCAGTGAGAGACGGGTAAGCTTTCACATTAACTGAAGTTAGATGAGGTGGGAGCTGCTGCTGATGCAAATTTGGAGCTTAGCTTGCCTTGCAGGAGTTTACACATGCACCGATACCTTCGGATAAGCAGTTCATTTCCATGTGGCATAAGTGTTTCTTGCATAGCAGTTGCTGCTACAAGGTGATCCAAACCACAGAATCTGCAGGGCAGAAGGACAGTATTGGTACCTGAATCACCTTCACAAATTTAAGTGGTTAGATTTTAGGCTAGGGGTACTACAAATTTCACACTTCTAAGCAACAACTTACAGTTTCAACACTGAGGACAAAAAAAACAGCACAAACCCATTTTTG